TTCACACGCTCGCTGGGATGCATTGGTTCACACGCTCGCTGGGATGCATTGGTTCATGCTGGGATGCTCTCTCTGCCAAAGAACATTTATTCAAAGATCGGAAATTACTCCCAGCGAGACAAGTGAAGCGAAGCAGAACCAAAACAAAGGCCAGATGACTTTACCTGAAGATTAGACACCCTACCTTATTTCACCTGATAATTAACCACCCTTACGCTAATTTAACATGATCTAACCAAATATATCTTAACCTAACCTAGCCCATACTCCCTAGGCATCAGGTGAAACAAGCTAGGGTGTCTAATCTTCAGGTGATACGATTTATGAAGGACAGTAATAAATAGAAATAAACCAACATCTTCTGTTTCTTGTTTTCTTTAATTCCTTTTTCTTGCATTGGAAACAACAAGAGACAAAGAAACATTAGATAAGGAAAACTGTTGTCATGACGCCATAGACGAGATGACTCAGGGTTACGGAGAGTTCCAGTGAATCAGGTATTGGTGATTTCATTAGAGCTCATATAAATCCAGGTGTATTGTTTATATTATATTCTAGGTCAATATTTTTTTTTTTTTGTAGTAATATGACGTGTAAAATACATTTATTTAGTTGATTTATTCTAATTTGCTAGTTTCTGCATAAAAGCTATTAAGACTAGACACTGTGGTTCCGGGTCGGGTCGGGTCGGGTCAGGTCGGGAACTTGGGAAAAGCTGGCCGAGTTAGTGTTACCTCTGACACCCACTGTTGTGCGTCAGAGCTGCTTCCCCAATTCTCTTGGTGTTGTCTGGGTATTTTTCGTTTCTTTACCTGTATTCAACTCGACAGATAAGTTATTCTTGTTATATTTGTTAGGTATAATATTTAGAATGTTTAATGTAAATTTAAATTAAGTTGCCATTCTGTTTTGCCTTTTAATGTTCGTGTTTGAGTTTCCTTGTAAATATATTAGTTTGTTTTAGGTGTATTTTTTTCACTCTGGGTTTCTACTTCACAATTAAACAACAATTGACCTATTAAAGCCTGTCTAGAGAACTTTGTAATAATAAGAGCATTAACATCATTTTGTCACTTAACCTGACTTAGATCTGTAATACTGTGACGATCAGGTGAGAGAAGACGTGAGGCAGGCGACCGGATATTTAGGTTATGTAGGATGTTTTTATGAACTACGTATATTTAACCTAACCTAACCCAAACTAACCTAGCCTAACCTAACTTAACCTAACCTAAGCCAAACTAAATCTAACACAACCTACTGGGGTTCAATTAGGTAATCGGGGTTTTAACTCAGGTTTTCTTTATACTATATCAGCTTCGCCACAAACAACAGAGTCGTTTTAACAAGGTCATGCAGTGTGGGGGAGTATAGCCGTTATCACTTCACGAACCCTCTACCCTTCATCACTGTAAAACATTGTAACCTAACCTAACCTTCCTCCTCCTGTGTTGCTTCATGAAGGCAGCTGCAGGGTGTGAGTTTTCCTGGAACGTTGAAAGGGCGACTGGGTGAAGATGATGGCTCTCTTTGTCAAGCTTGTGTGTGTGTGTAATAATAATAATAATAATAATAATAATTAACGGTTTATTGAAAAAGTTCAGCAGCCCGGTAGGCTGAAAATATACATTAGACAAAAATGACTTATTACATTCAAAGACATGGAGTGGGTGGGTCGCTTAACAAAAGCTTTCATTACTAAAAGGAGAAGGAAAGTGAAATGAGCATACAAATTATTATAGTTTACAGTTGCTGGCCCGGGCTGGTCTCTTGCCATACTGTGTGAGGTCATGTAGGCCACTTGGTGTAATAACTCGTCCGTAGATGTTGATACGAATGACCTCACGGGATCATGGAGACACCAGGTGGTGTGGTGTTCACTCTGTGTATTAACTCGTCCTCGGGTGTTGATATGAAGGACCTCACGTGGTCATGGAGACACCAGGTGGTGTGGTGTTCACTCTGTGTATTAACTCGTCCTCGGATGTTGATATGAAGGACCTCTCGTGGTCATTGGGACACCGGGTGGTGTGTGGTGGTGTCACAGTACCTCACTCTCTGCTGGGTGGTGTTGTTTTATCTCGTAGTCAGGTGTAAAGCCGACCCACTGTTGTTCCCAGGGTGGACTGATTAACACCGCCTGGTCAGAAGATGGTGGTCGGTTCCCAGGGGTGCTTATCTCACTGGTGGGTTATGGTTCTCACTGGTACTGTCTGGTGTTGAATTCACTGGCCTAAACACTGTTCATCACCGTTCAACACTGATCCCACTTCATTCCGAAACGAAATTGTCACTTTTGACAGCATTATGTTGAGGATTGGGCCGAACATTGGCCGGGGGCAGTTGCCGATGCAGAACTGGGCGCCCAATAGATCTTGACCCTCCGGTGGTCAGGGATGTAGTGTGTGTGTGTGTGTGTGTGTGTGTAGGTGTATTGAAAAGGCATAATAAAACATCTCCTTTACACACATAAACTTACGGTTGCTTAGACCATAAACGTCTTCTTAACACACACACACACACACACACACACAGGCTCTCCTTATATACGTCAGGTATCAAAGGTTAATATGAAGCCTGATGTCGCCTAAATTAACCAAACCAAACTTAACCTAACCTAACCTAACCTAACCTAACCTAACCTAACCTAAAGAAAAGTTTAGTTCTCTGTTAATTTTTTTTTGTCCGAAGACTTTACAACATTTTCATTATCTATTCAGGACAATTATTGTTACTAAATCAGACTAGGTTAGATTAGGTTAGGTTAGGTTAGGTTAGGTTAGGTTAGGTTAGATTACAATGATTGGCTAATATGTAGACCCACAGGTAGGCAATTGCTATACCCAATACAGCTTGTAATTCGCCTCTCTATGTGCTGCCTTTTTGGCGGTAATATTATCTAAACTAAATTGTCTCTTATTACCTTTACATAAGTAATAACCGGAACACCTGGTAGACTATGATCCCTCAGAATGTTATACCGATCCTCACTCATACACTCACACTTCTTGTCCTCATAAAAACCCACTTGCAGAGTGACATTTCTACCATACAAATACAATTTCTTCGATGCTCTACCATCCAACACTAATCCACAGTAGTAGTCGGGTTTCTCACAAGGCGCTAGTGTCTGGTGGCAGCGTTTGACAGGGAGTGGTCTTGCCCGGTGATGAGGTGGTATCATCAGGTCTCTCACCACCGTATTTATGTAATTTCTCACATCCTCCCAAGGCACGTACATGGTGACGGGTTTACAGCGGGTCACTTTGTCTGAGAGATCAAAAGAGGCGATAGAGAACATATTTCATTCGTTGATGTGAATAATATATTGTGATGATATGAAGGAGTTTAATGGTAAGTTATAGTGGGGGAATGTGTATAATCTACTGAACTATATATAATTACACAAACATGTACATATACAGTCTTATATATGACTTTAAATGGGGATAATTACCAGTTAAGCCTTAAAAATCAACTGAAGTTTGTGTTCAATAGGTTAGGTTAGCTTAGGTTTTCTATGAAACTGTTGACATATATGTATGATGATCAACAGTCGGACGTTTAAAAAATTAATTTATTGAATTTATCGCTATTAAACAATTATCCCAGGTGGGTATGTTACTATAGGCCTATGACCCATATAGGCCTACCCCATACTCTGAGATTCATCTGGGAATCATATATTTACATTATTTACTTGTGAATCACTTTCTTAACTCATTACTTTTGCTCATAGCATGCCAGGATTGTCCATTAATGAGCTTATTGACTATTGTATAATGTCTCCTGGTGGGTCAGTTCGACTGTTCAGTAGCAGCGAGTCGTGAACAAAATGGACAATAACAAAAATAGTACGTACTTGGAACAGTTCTGAGCTGGACATCGATGAAGTTGAGTGAGTTAGATAATGGTGGTAAGGGCGGCATCAACAGACTGGAAGCAGCAGAGGAAGAAGACAAGGAAGGACTCCTTTCTTTACATCGACAAGCCACATCCTCCTTGAACTTCAAATCCAAATCAATATTGAGTTGTCCTCGAGGTTTGAGACGCATGAACACCTTCCGAAGATGTCTCTTGTCAGGTAGATAGTGGTGGCGAGGACTCGGGCAGGGGTGAAGCTCCGGAAGACAGCGACGGACGGGCAGGTGGACTCCTCTCACATCTTCAGGTAGGCTGACGTTGTGGGGAAACTGGACCTCCAGGTGGGTCTTCAGGTCCGGCCATGATGTGTAAGTGAGTGTCGGTGTTTGGGGATCTGTGGAACATAGAGATAATTTTTATATATTTATGGTCATATAAGAACGATCATGTAAATAATTATTATGATATAGACCATTATGGTGATCAACCTCATCGCCTATGGCTCTATGGCCAGGCAGAAGTTTCCCCAGAAAACAAATGCTTAGAAGATATTGCTCTCAGGAAACTATCCCTACTTAATGTAAATTATATATATATATATATATATATATATATATATATATATATATATATATATATATATATATATATATATATATATATATATATATATATATATATATATTACGGACGGCACATACTCGTGGGTCTCTTCTTGACTTTGGTGGTCTTTTTCCGGGACTGTTCACTATCGTCCGCTGTGGTACACGAGAAGCTCCCACCTGCGCCATCTTCGGTCAGGTTGGTCAACAGATAACCACTGCCACCACAACCCGCCTCTACGTAGGAAACACGACCGACCCAGTTGTCCTCCGTCCGCATCTCATACCGGTGATCTCCAGGGTGCGGCAGTTCCAGTTTTCCATACTGGTGTGGAATTATGGAACCCTTTTGTTCGTCTTCTCGATCGACTTCCAGGATGGTAAATAATCCTCGTTCACTTCGATGAGAGTCTCCCGGTGTATTTCTTGACCAAAGTTCCTCTTTTGGCTCGAAGCTGTTGAAAACGTCTCTCCTTAACTCAGAACCGGGAAATATTACCGCAAGTATAGTTTCATATATGTGCGTGTGTGTGTGTGTGTGTGTGCGTGTGCGTGTGTGTGTGTGTGTGTGTGTGTGTGTGTGTGTGTGTGTGTGTGTGTGTGTGAATTTATGGTGTATTTACAAGCACAACAACCAGTGTTCAATACCATCTGTAAAGCCCAGTAATGAAACTTAACCGTGCACAATACTCGAGTAGTCAGGTGGAGAATTATAAGTAATCGATATTGCCTTAGTGAATAGTTTATAATATTAACGTCATTGCTCTGACATTTATATTGACATGTTAAGTACGATGTTTGGGTCGGCTCTCAAAGCATCCCATAGAAACAGACGGTTTTAGAGCCGGGGGAGTCACATACTGTAAGCTTGGCTCACCACTGGCCTACCTTGTCAGTTCACTTCTGGTGGTGTACTCATGGCAGTCATGGTTCAGGCTGGCTGTTTTATGTATTTGTGTAACTTGCATTTATATTTGTGTATTGATTAATTTATCGGTGATGTTTGTGACCCTAAAAGTAGCTTTATATCTTCAATGTGATTAATTTATATTATATTATTATTAGTGATAAGAGTTGTAAGTATACTGTAATTATACATTTTACTTCAACTTTCTTTACTCCAATCATCAAATATTCACCTATAAATTAAGATACATTCTGTCCTTATACTGTGCCGTAGTTGAAGTTCTTCTCAATACAAACATTAAGAACCATAATACAGTAATTCACTCTTAATTACATTCACTTTTGTTTGTTACGAGTCTCACAATAATTGCACTAGTTTACATCCAGGGGTTCATACTTAAAATGACACTGGTTATTGAGTTCACAAATACAGTCTACAGGTTAATTTTTCATATAAACACACACACACACACACACACACACACACACACGCACACACACACGCACACACACACACACACACACGTCCTGACAACAGTATCTTACTAACTACAAATGTTAGACCATCCACGTATACAAGTACTTACAACAAGTTTCTTAAGTGACAAGTGACACAGCAGGAGGAACACACCCGGTACTTACCTGACGATGATTTTCACGGGGCAGTGACGACACACAATGGTCACGATATATGGAGGTCTGAGAGGCGTTGGGGCTTCACAGGATACAAAAACACTACTGTACACATCAGCCGCCATCTCACCACCACTTGCTGACACTCTTCCACCATCACCATCTGCTGACACCCTTCCATCAACGACTCCACCTGTAATGTCATAATATGGAACAGGAGTTTGGCATCTTCCTCTGTTCTTCAAGATTATAAAGTTTATGTAATTAATATGATTTTAATTTCTGACTGACTTGTTTGATTGGTTGTATAACTAAATGAGTAAGTGAATGATTGACTGACTGGCCATGGAGTGGGTTGACACCGATTATACATTGTAGGTTTACTTTAGGAAGAATTTGTGAACCCACGGAACCTTTAAACCACTGGAATGAACCTTTGAACCATTGAACTGGACATTTGAACCACTGAACTGAACCTTTGATCCTCTGAACTGAACCTTTGAACCATTGAACTGGACATTTGAACCACTGAACTGAACCTTTGATCCTCTGAATTAAATCTTTATCATGTTTAAAATTTTGTTACGTTTGAGGTTCACATCAGTGGTACAAAGTTTGCATCACACACACACACACACACACACATAGAGCAAAAGAACATTGATCTTCTATAAATAACTTGAAATAACAGTAAACTCATACCTAATACTGGTGACATATACTCCACATTATCACAGACGGCAACGTTGGTGATGTTAAGGGTATACGCTACGTCTTTCGTCCCTCCATCAACTGGCTCTCTCCGTGCTAGACATTTACACCTCTTGTCCTCCTCGTACTCAAGATACAACGTCTTGGGTACACCTGCCTCCGTAAACGACAAGGTGGTGGATATAGTTCTCTTATTAATTACGGTACATTCGCCTCGTCTACAGGGACTTAAATCCTTTCGGCATGTTTGTACAGCGAGTGACTCTCCCTCTGTGTCCTGACTGGTAAGAATGATAGTAGCTCTTACTTGTGGATGCTCCACCAGATTCGACCAGTTTACATACACCCGATGTGGTTTTCTGCAACATTTCTTCCCTCGGAGTTTGGTTAGCCTTTCTCGTTTACCTGTTAATTAAAAAAAATAATGATAAATAAATACATTCTCTCACGGGTTTTTTTTATGGTTTTTAGAGTTTAATAACTCGATAGATACTGAATGTTGAAGCATTTTCTTTTTTTTTTCTTTTTTTTTAGGGAAATACAAAATTAGTTAAGTTATCTCTTCACTTCAAAAGGAAACTGATAATTGTCATTATTATTTTATTCAATACCTGAATAATGTTTATAACAGAGGTAGAGAGACAGATAGAGACAGGGAGAGAAAGAGAGAGATTAATGAGTATGGTAGAGAGAGGAAAAGAGGCAGAAAGAGAGACAAAGAGAGTTATGTCATGACACTGAACACTTGGGAGAGAGGGAGACCGAGAAACAATCCATGTCCCCGGTTTACTTTAGTTTAACAACTTTATTGGTTAAACTTGCTTATTCTAAGTAGTTCAGTCAGGTTGTTGACACTTAGGGTGCCGTCACTGTTTACTACCATGCAGGAGAGAAGTTCATGCCCAAAGGACTACTCGGTGTGGGCTAGCAAATTTAGGATAGACAGCAAGAATGTCCTCAATCACCCCTGATTCAATGCAGTAATAACACAGTTCAAGATACAATAAGCCAGGTGGCCTGATGGTGTCACATTCAATAATATAGTGTTCAAGTGTATGCTTTAAAGGTTTATCACAAAGTTTACATGCTTAGTGTTCCGGTATGGGTACAGCGCCACTAACTTGCCAGGTGTGTCTGTATCCAAGCCTAATGCTGGCCACGACTACATCACATAGTCTGGTTCTGTCCTTATGCTGGCCATACCGGTACCTCTCGTCACAAAATTTATTATATATACTAATACTACAATTACCAGGTCTCTCTGCATTTCTCATTTCTTCTAGATCACAGCTTGTGATTTTGACTTGTATGTTTTATTTAAGTACATCATTGGATAAGCCAAGGTCGCAGTTTACATTTTTTCGTTAAGTGTCTCATTGGCCAGTCTGTTAACAAATCCACGATTCCTAATTCCAACATGGGACGGAATCCACACAAATTCAATACAAATGCTGTTCTCCTTAGCTGTTATCACATTTCGTTTCATATCAGAGACAAGTTTAGACATTATGGCTGACAGCGGTCACAGAATATCACACCACCTCCATTTTCTTGATTCCATAGATTTTGTCAACAAAGGATTCTGAAAGGTTCAATGACCTGCAAAAAGTTCGGCATGAAGACTACCGACAAAGTTCACATCATTCACATTAACTCTTATATATTCATAGTATCTACATAGTTCCAAGGGCATGCTGTTAATGTTAAAGTCAAGAGGCAGAGGGTGAGCAGGGCGAAGATTGAGGAGCCTCGTCTTATCAACAAATATTATATCACATTCCACAGTCCTCCGCCATAATGCAGATCTCATCGACATCACATAACACAGCCACGGTCGGTTAAGCTAAAATATCAGCCTTAAGCGTGGACATCAGAGCAAAGGAATTAGCACTCCTCTGTAGGCCATGCCAGGCTCAAATGCTCTCATTCTGGTAAACCTGGTATCCATGTCAGGGGGATATGTACCCGAGATCTGGGTGACAAAGTGTGATAGAGAAACACACACCAGCATCAGGGTTCCCGTCCACTTCTTGGTGATCAACATTCTTAAGTACGGCTGAAGAAATACATTAGTCATAAATCATCATAAATGGTGGGGGTTGAATCGTGTGTGTGTGTGTGTGTGTGTGTGTGTGTGTGTGTGTTGACAGTTGTAATGTTATGATAGTTATGATAATGATGATGGTAAAGATAACGACCAGAGATGTCAAACGAAACATAAACTAACAATATATATAATGATAGATAATAATATTAATAATAATAATAATAATATTATTATTATTATTATTATTATTATTATTATTATTATTATTATTATTATTATTATTATTATTATTAGTTATTATTATTATTATTATTATTATTATTATTATTATTATTATTATTATTATTATTATTATTATTATTATTATTATTATTATTATTATTATTATTATTATTATTATTATTATTATTATTATTATTATTATTATTATTATTATTATTATTATTATTATTATTATTTTTGTTGTTAACAGTGATTCTGAGGATATTATGAATGGCCGCCAGGCTATTCAACCGTGAGCCCATAATGAAGAGACAAAGAGACTCAGTTAGGAATGAAACAGAAACAGAGACAGAGAAAGAGAACAGAGAAAGGGCAGGAGACAAGAAACAAGAGACGAGAAAGACGGAGAGAGAAGACAGAAGAGAGACAGGAACCAGGGCAGAAGCAGAAAGAGACAGACACGAACTTAGAAACAGAGACAGAGAAAGAGAAGGAGACAGAGACAGAGACAGAGAAAGAGAAGGAGACAGAGACAGACATCCAATAGTATTCATAAAAAGATTAGTCCGGATAACCCCTACGTCAGGTGTATGGATTCACGGTTCAATAGCCACTGCGTAAGGAAAAAACACTGTTTATTTTTATGTCTAGAATAATGTTTTGTTTCGTTGATTATTTAAATTATTTGACGAGTAAAGTAATTCCTTCTTTATTAATTTCAATTTCCTATGAAACATTAAGTAGCCAATACAGGAATAATAACCTAACCTAACCCAATTAAACCGTAGCTAACGTAACCTAAACTGACCTAGCCTAATTTTACCTAACCTAACGTAACCAAACTTAAACAAACCTAATTTAACCTAACCTAACCTATAAACAATTCTCGCTTCACCTGTCTATAGAATTAGCTTAAGTCTTACCTGTAGGGGTGGTTGTGAGAGTGGAGAGGGCGCTAACTCTTAAGTTGGGGGTGTGAGTGCCTCTAGCTGCTTCCTTCTCTCGACTAACCTCATGTCCTCAGCCTGACGCGGGACACGGGCTGGAGAGGGACCTTGAACGCTCTGAGATGAAGGACGGCGCCACATTCATATAAAGTTCTAGTAAACAAAAAGCAAAAAACAAAAGAATTAAGAGCTTTTGTTGACGCTTTCTTATGGTATGAAACGCTGCATATAATTTATAATGCTTGTTTTATAGAGATTGTAGCAACTGATACTAAATAAAACGTGAAAATTAATCACTCACTAGCGACTCGCATAGAGGAGCGCCAAGACGTCCTTTATGGTCCGCTGCTGGTGTCTTTACTGTTTTAATCCTTGTTTATTTCTCCCCCTTCTACTCACTTCCACCTACCTGTTGTACTTCCACTGAACTTTTTTCACCTGTTACTTGAGATTTATGTATGTACAGTATGTATGTATGTATGTACAATCAAAGACAAAAGTCATGTCGCGGTTTTGTCCGAAGATTGAATATAATTCGTGAAACATTATGAGAGCTCTACCACAAGGCAGAGCGCACCAAAAGTTCACGAAACGACTTTTGTCTTTGATTGAACACTCGTTACAAAAAGTATCTGCATTATTTTTTTTACTAGACATTATGACACAACAGACGAAGGAATTTCATAACCCTACCAAGACAACATTCACCGGACCACTCCTTGCAAATACGTTCTGTAGCGATTGTACATAGGTCGGAGGTCACTCGGTAAGTTTGTTTATATTCTTATCGTGTGTGTGTGTGTGTGTGGGTGTGTGTGTGGGTGTGTCAGTCTGTCTGTCTGTTTGTCTCTTTATCTGTTTATTTGTCTCTGTGTATGTGTCTTTCTGTATTTGTGTGGCTGTTAGGTTAGGTTAGGTTAGGTTAGGTTAGGTTAGGTTAGGTTAGGCTCATCATTTACCTGAGTCTATAAATGTTTCAGTCTCTAAACAACAACATGGATAACTTTATTGTTTGTCTTTTTGATCACTCTTCAGAGGTCAAGGTCATCGACAGGTCAGGCAGGACTGCATTAGCTGGCGAACGTTGACATTTTTATGCATTGATAATTAGTCAACGTATTTTGTATTTTGTTTAGATAAAATATATAGATTTCATTACATATAGTTTATATTGCTTGTAGTTAAACATAATTTTTGAAACATTATAGTTTATCCTGTGTTATTATTGTTGTTGTTACTGTCATTGTTCTTGTTGTTGTTATATTAGGTTGGGGATGGTTTGGTTGGTTGCTTCAGGACACCTGGTGCACGGGGTGTTACTCAGAAGTCGGGCATGTAGCACGGGAGGTGTTCTGTTGATTATTGTGTTAGTCACTCTGCGATACGAGTCCCTGTCCATACACTTACACGCCTCTTCTTCCTGGTACCTTATCTTGAGTGTAAGTGTTCGGCCCGTCATCTGTGGTGGGATGGGGATGTCTGAATACGCCTTGAGGTATTCCCGTAGTGTGCCCCACTCCAGGTAGGTCAGCTTGGGTTCACAGTCCTGTGTACACATATCAGCCTCCGCTGCCGCTGAAAAATAAACGTAACTACTACTACTACTACTACTACTTTTTTTTTCAACGTGGCCTCCAGCCTCCCCCAATAGCCACACCTTCGCCGCCATTTTATTACCTTAATATTAAATATTCTAATACATAAGGAGCTACCCGAGCTGTGTTGAGTTAGTTGAGCCGCAGATCTATGCGGCTACTACTACTATACAGTATATAATATAATATAATATAATATTTTACTACTACTGCTACTATTGTACAGTAAGGACATACCGACTACTGTAGTATAAATACTGTTAATATTAATAAAGTTATCAGTAAGAGATACTGACCGTTGACGGTAATGATGTGTACAAGGAGGACGAAGGTCAGTCCAAGAGTCACCAACAGACTCCTAATGGTCATGACTGTGAACACAAGTGACTAATTATGTTGACACAGGAATGTTGATATATTACCTCTCCAGTCCCTAACATGCTTGTGTGTGTGTGTGTGTGTGTGTGTATGTGTGTGTGTGTGTATATGTGTGTGTGTGTGTGTGTGTGTGTGTGTGTATGTGTGTGTGTGTGTGTGTGTGTATGTATGTATGTATGTATGTATGTATGTATGTATGTGTGTGTGTATGTATATGTATGTATGTATGTATGTATGTATGTATGTATGTATGTATGTATGTATGTGTGTGTGTGTGTGTGTGTGTGTATGTGTGTGTGTGTGTATATGTGTGTGTGTGTGTGTGTGTTCATTTTGCCATGGTTATATTGAGCAATAATTTAAGCTCGGGACCCATCTTCCACCTGCGGTCTGTCACAAGAAGATAAAACCCTATAGTGGTGGTAAAGAAGGCCGATGTGTACCTGTGGCGCCCGAGTGCTGCAAGACGCCAGGGCTGTCAACTCCGGTAATTCGTTTGTTAATCGGTAAACTGCCAAAATTTGATGACGTAGTCGGTAAGCCGTGACGTCACTGCTCCGACTCTGTAAATTACCTACTTTAGGAAATATGCTTTTTCATGGCTAAAATACCATATAGAATACACAGAAATAAATTGTAGATGTATTTAATTACCTTACCTACATTTTACTAGCGATATTTTAGCAGAACTATATTCTGCTGAGTCACACACGAAGCGATATCGAGACAAGGAAGCCAAAGGATGTCACAACGGTCTGTTTTATGTTGGTATTCAGAGCTTTTTCCATGACTTCCGCTGCAGAGTTTTGCTGGATTCACCATCTAGCCGACATACATCGACAGTTAGTGAGTATTGAGCATTTATATTTGTATTTTACTTTGTATTTGCTATTATCCGATAACCTATTTTTCGTGTAGTCACCCCTTTTCGTTTGCAGTGTTTATTATTCAGAAATTTATAAAACTAATGACAGGAACAACGAAATTCACTGAGTATGAGGACTATTCTAATATAACTACTGTATCTGGGGTCTCCGTTACCCCTCACCACACATTACTGTATCTGGGGTCTCCGTTACCCCTCACCACACATTACTGTATCTGGGGTCTCCGTTACCCCTCACCACACATTACTGTATCTGGGGTCTTCGTTACCCCTCACCACACATTACTGTATCTGGGGTCTCCGTTACCCCTCACCACACATTACTGTATCTGGGGTCTCCGTTACCCCTCACCACACATTACTGTATCTGGGGTCTCCGTTACCCCTCACCACACATTATATTATAGAAAATAGTAATATCCCGTCATGTTCTCGCAACCAATCACAACGAGAGCAGTTGAACCAATCAGCGTGTTCGGTACACAAAGAGTCGGAAATCTCGACAGCCCTGGTACTAAGAACTGACGTAACACACTTGTGAAAACTCCAAAAATAAAGCTGATAGCGCCATCTATTTAACTTATGCTGGTGATGATTTATGTTTCTGTGGAGGTAAGTTATAATATTAGGCTATAATACAGTAAACACACACACACACACACACACTGGAACACTTACTTTTCCGAGATCAATAAAAATGTTGTACCAAGTTCCAATGCTCCCGCCACCTCGTCCAAAGAGATGAGAGACACTAACAGCGACTAAAGCCTCGTCGTATACACTAGCTCTTTGTATATTCTTTCTTCGGTATACTAAACTTAAAGTCACACGGGAGAAAACGTGTGTCCGGGTCAAGCAGGACGTAAAACCTTGATTTATGATATATACATCATTTTTCTCTCTCACGCTATACTACCATATTCTTGGTCACTTAATTTACTTTACTTCTAATCATTTACTTAATCTACTCCTTAAGGTATGGTCGCTGCACCTGAATAAAGGAACACAAACACATGCAGCTTACTCTCGGCACCAAAGAGACACGCAAGTACTCCTCTCACCTTATACTCCAGCAAGGTAGATTAGGTACTTCAACACACAATCAAGCAGGGACCATAACTGCGTCCTTAACACTTAGGTTATTACAGTAGTGACAGCACCTCCAGTAGCACCAACACTTCTTCATCACCCAGGTAACTACGATCTTGAGACGCCCAGAGATCCATAGGGAGGTTATACAGTGACCATAGGCATGACCCACTACACCAGGTAGGCTACCCCCGCCCACACCGCCCGTGCGAAGAGTCCCGACTCCCTAGTTTCTAAATACTGAGGCTACAGGCCGCGTCAGTACCTAGGCCTGCGGGTGCCAGTGCTTACAAATTACGATGGCATTATTCTGGCCCTCCACACATACATTTTCTTAGGTATTGTTTGTGACTTCATGCCTTTAATTATATACTTAATTCTAAATTACATAACACAATCAGTGACCGAGTTGTCAGGATCGGACACATTCCTTCATACATCTCATTATCTGGGTAACGGAGGCCTAATAGTTTTAGGCGCCAACAGGGACGAAGGCCTTAGTTCTAAGCTTGGTATATCATACTTCACTTTACACACAGTTTATGGTCATCCCCGACACTTTGCAAACATTTACCATTCCCATAAAATTCTCGAATCATGGTGCTATCCGAGGCTGTCCGTCAAATGAGATAACGATGTGTACTATCCTCACACGGACGTCAGTAAGATAATTTCACGTTATCATAGTTTATGGGTCAACCCTAACATTACACTTATAGTTGATCTAATACACATTATTTTTCAGATCATTAAAATTATATATTTTCACCCAACACATAATATAGCTATGTTTATTAATCTTCCCCAGACGTTTATGCCATAATCTTGAGACTCTGGTACATTTATTCCCAATATTACACTATTAAGTACCAACTGTGCCACCCTAACCCTCATATGAGTACCTTTACTTCTCCGTTAATACCATAGATATACATACTTAATATTATATGCACGGACACGGCTATAATGCGTACAAAACATACAGTAAATGAGTTACCCCTTCGGAGCCGTTATCATTTTCTGTGACACGACATCATAGAAAACATTGACACATTAATACGATTTTGTTTGTTATGCAGCTATAATATAAATCATAAGAGATATAGAGACGAGTATTAAC